TCACTTATTAAATAGGAACATATGAGTATATTTTAATACTTTAAAATTTGTGTATTTGTGAAACAGAGGGAATATTCAATTTTAATATAAACATAATGGTTACAATATTTTGATCTATTATTAATGTCTAGATCTGGTCTTGATAAATCAGAAACACCTTATTATGTTCTAACAGAGACATGATTGAGATAACACCAAAGAAAAACAGAGACGTGATTGAGATTAGATATGTTTTGACAAATCTGGCCTATCCATTACTTTCATTAGACATTAAGAGAAAAGAGTCAAAAGACATTAAATTCCATACTTGAAGAAACATTCAAATTCCATACGTCAAGCTTATATCTTAAGGAAGTTACCTGTGATTTTAGGATCATACTATTATATGGTAGTAAACAAGTTTATCCATATGCAAATTATTAGGATTATGAGAATCATTTTTATATGGTATCAGAGCCTGATCCGCACAAACTCAACTCAATCCACAATCGGTCTGGCCCAATAGTTGGTTCACCAATTTATGTCCGAACATACCGAGATTTATGGAAAAAAAAGCCATCATCTCGAGTGGGCGTATTAGGGATAACAATATCCCACATTAGAAGTTGAGTAGGATCTTAAATAGTATATATAAGATACGGGGTTCTCCACTCATTGTCAATTAGTTTTAGGTTGGAATCCCACAATCTAATATTTTTATCTAATAATCTCTACATAAATAAAATTTTCTCGGTTTCAGTTTAAGTGATATTTAAGCCAAAATATTGTTTTGTTTTAAGTGATGTTTTCTATATTTTATAAAAGATTAAATGTTTTTAATAATTTTTTACTAATCATATATTATATTATATTTTTTATTGTTTAATTTTATTTTAACTATTAATGTTTTATGGAAAATAGCTAAATTACTTAGTAACTATTAATTTTGTTTTAACTATTAATCTTTAAAAATTACTAAGAAAACGGAAGAAGACATTCTTTATTCCCAAAATAATATTATAACATATATCGAGAACTGATCCCAAGAGCAATATTACAAGGTGAGAAAGAATGGCTTTCTTGCAATATGTGCGAAATAAAACTTTTCTTATAGAGGTCGATGTAAAAGTTGTAATCTGGACTATAACTATGTGTTTTCAAATTGTACAGATACTTTACTTGCTATGACCGAAAATATTGTCTAATCTAACGTCCAATAATATACAAAGACCATTTCTAAGAGAGCTGCACATTCTAATTAGTGAGATATACTTACTGATAGCATAACTTTGTGCACCTAGATTTTTTTTTCTTTTACTTCATGATACACAAACATTATATATGAAAAAACGTCTTTTACTTTGCCTTGGTTCTCCAGTCAAAGCACTGCACCATCAACTCTATTGTTGTTCCCACAAAAATGTAGGCTAGATTTGATCCAGGACATGCTCTCCTTCCCTTACCGCTCTCTCTCTCGTTTCCTTGTTCCGATTGAAAGAAGATAAAAACCTCTCTGGCTTAAATTCATTAGGATCTTCCCAAGAATCAGGATCTCTCACAGCATAAGTATTAACAAAAGGTTTTGTTTTCTCTGGTACGTAAAACCCTTTGATCTCACACCTTTCTTTGAACATCCTCGTCAAGAAAGGCTCTGGTGGGTGCAATCTTGGTCCTTCCTTAAGCACAGCTTGCAAATAAGGAAGGTTTGGTATATGTGGTCTCCTCCTTCTCTCCCAATCATTGGTCATCTTCACCCTCTCCTCTCTTCTCTAACATTGAGCTATATTTACTACAAAACATAGGATCATGATCACATTAAATTAAACATGACTTTGATACTATCATCGGGCACACCTCCAATTCTAAATGTGATACACAACCTCTCAAAGGAGTTCAAATGATCATATGGATTCTCCATAGCTAGTCCCAAGAATTGAGAGCCTTGAATCAATCGAATCAAACTTGGCTTGATTTCATAAGCATTGGCTTCTATTGGAGGAGGTCGGATTCCATATCTTGACTCATGACAATGAGGAACATCAAAGCTTCCTATTGTGGTTGTCTCCTCTCGAGCATAAGTTGGATTTACTCTTAAATCTTGAGGTTGTGGAGCTTGAATAGTGTTAGTACGAATGTCCACATCCAACACCTTAAATGACATTGTCTTCCCATTCTTCTTATTTTGATTTGAGTACCTTTGAAAGCATAAGAGAATCAAAGAAGACAAGTTAGTAACAACAAACAAAAGAGAGCTCATCATCTCAACTAGATGTGTGAATCTAATCATATGCGAAAAGTAAATGGCTTAGTCTCAAGCAAAAATGAAATCCTAATGGCTAATTGATATTGCTCCCCGGCAGCGGCGCCAAATTAATGTAGCGATTTTTACCCGACCAATTAAATTATCGAAGCTCAAAAAGCAATTAATTAACACACCAAAAATACACAAATTTGTTTAATCTAAGCTTAATAAGAGATGAGTTTTGATTTCTAAATGTAACTAACAATGTAATTTAAAGCAAGCAATGCAAAACAAGATGAAAGAAAGCAATAATCAAAAGACTAACAAGATTCGAATTGAAACAAAGCGGGAAAAGACAATTACTAAGCAATAATTAAAGATGAATCATCGGGTTAAGGTAATTGACTAGGAGCGATAAGGAAGCGGATTATGGAGCTAACAACTTCAAACAAGCATTAATCCTTAGGCCATAGACACTAAACTAGACTAATTCATTTCCATGACAATAATCACTTTACTAATCAAATAATTATCAACTTCTTCCAAAGGCAATTAAATGATCAACAAGCATTAATAACAAGTCTATCTAGCCACTAAACATCCTAATCAACATTTTCAAATGGTAAGGAGTGTAAAGCACTTAAAAGTTTTGGTT